AGAGACTAATACTCAAACGGTGACAAGGAAGCCAAAGAAAGGAACAAGCAAATTGTACCTGTCCTGAGCTCAAGTGCGGTACTCTTTGGGGACTCCTAGAAGCCACTAGGGAGACATTGGAAGGTATGTTAGTTTGTGAGGACTACCATAACAAAATACTATAGACTGAGTGACTTTAAACAACAGAAATTTATTTCTGCACAGTTATGGAGGCCAGAAGTCAGAGATCAAAGTGTCAGTAGGGTTGGTTTCTTTTGAGGCCCCTCTCCTTGGCTTGCAGATGGTTGCCCTCTTGCTGTGTCCTCACATGGTCTTTTTGTTGTGTGGACATGCCCCACAGATCTCCTTCTCTTCTTATAAAAATACTGTCAGATTGGATTAGGGCTGTACCCTAAAGGCCTCATTTTAACTTAATCACCTCTTTAAATACCTGATCTCTAAATATAGTCAGAGTCTGAGGTATTGGGGGTTAAGACGTCAACATAGGAATGTTGAGGGAACCCCATTCAGTCCGTACTAGGAGGACTCAAGTCTTCTGGCCTCTAGATGCAACCCCAAGGGTGCTGGCCCCCTCCAGCACATCCTCACCTAGGAAGCTTTGGTGTGGAGTACTGCAGGCAGACCAGAGGGGATGACCGAGCTTGTGACTTGTAGGCACTGATGCTAATTCAGTCCACTGGAACTCTCAGTTTGGTGAAAGGCAGGGACTTTCAAGGTGTATACACAGATCCAGTCTTCCAAAGGGCAAATCAGTCCTTCAGAGTTACAATTACTTTCAACACATTTAATTAAAGTAGCATTTCTTTCTTTAAAAACTAACAGGAAATTCCCAAGACAACTAGTCTTTACTGTCTAATATCAGATTAGAAACAATTCACTTACTTCCGTTGTCTACCCTAGTCAAGTAGAAAATTGAGCAATTATGTGTGTGTTTGCTTAAATTATGCAAACAATCGTCTTCATAGGCCACATTTTTTTGTTTTTATAGATCCAACTTATCTGACTTAAGTGGTTTATTTTTTTAGATCCATAGCATTAAAATTTTTTTTAAATTTTTTTAAAAATTTAATTCCAGTATAGTTAACATACAGTGTTATATAGGTGTACAATGTAGCGACTCAACAATTCTATACATTACTCAGTGCTCATCAGAAGTGCACTCTTTAATCTCCATCACCTATTTCACCCCCCCCCCCGCCACCCCCTGATGGTTACACTGGTAACCATCAGTTTTTTCTCTGTAACTAAGAGTCCACTTCTTGGTTTGCCTTTTTCTTTTGTCCATTTGTTTCTCAAATTGCACATATAAGTGAAATAATATGGTATTTGTCTTTCTCTGACAGATTTATTTCACTTAGTACTGTACTCTCTAACTCCATCCATGTTGTTGCAAATGATAATATTTCATTCTTCTTTATCATGGAATAGTATTCTATTGTGTATATATACCACATCTTTATCTGTTCATCTATAAATGGACATTTGGGTTGCTTCCATATTTGCTTATTGTAAATAATACTGCAATAAACATAGGGGTGCATATATCTTTTGGACTTAGTGTTTTTGTATTTTGGGGGTAAATACCCAGTTATGTGGTTACTGGATTATAGCATAGTTCTATTTTTATTTTTTTAAGGAACTTCCATATTATTTTCCACAGTGGGTGTTCCCATTTACAGTCCCACCAACAGTACGAGAGGATTCTTTTTGGTCCACATCCTTGCCAACACTTGTTGTTTTGTGTGTTTTTGATTTTACCCATTCTGACAAGTGTGAGGTGATATTAGATTCTTAACTTTTTGTTGAGGCTATTTTGATGGAGCAATATTGGTGCAGCTTTTTGATGACAAGACATTTTGATCACTTAAAAAAAAAGAAAATCTGTTATACTTACAGCTTTAAAATTATAATACTACGTGTAGAACAGGCATCTTCACTCCTAGTCTCACCTATCACAACCCCACTCACAACAAATTTTTCCTTCTACAAAGATAGCAAAAGAAATTTTTAAAGATTTTATTTATTTGAGAGTGTTTTCTTTTTTTTTTTTTAAAGACTGTATTTATTTATATGAGAGAGAGAGAGAAGAAGGAGCAGGGGGAGGGGCAAAAGGAGAGGGAGAAGCAGACTTTCCGAGGAGCAGGGAGCCCAAATGAGGTTTCATCAGGGACTCCAAGATCATGACCCAAATTGAGGGCAGATGCTTAATCGAGCCACCCGGGTGCCCCTTATTTATTTATTTGAGAGAGAGAGAGAGAGAGAGCACACACACGTGTGAGTGCACATGCAGGAGGAGGGGCTTTTTTCTTTTAATTGTATTTATTTACAGCCAAAGAATTTTAACATTTCTAGAAACAAAACCTTGGAGGGAGAAGAATAAAAAGGACCTGAGAAAATACAACTCCAAGGAAGTAGGGTATTTCAGTTTTAATGCTTATTCTTGTAATACCCTCATCTTTGTAAATTTTGGGGGACTCTGGTTGATTTTGTGGAATATTGCTGGATGCTATGTTTCCCTTGTCCTAACACCATTGAGACTATGGAAAATCTGGGGCCAGTAACTTTAAAAGAAATTCATATTAATAAGCATACTGGAAAATAGAGAGTAATGTATATGAGCAACATTAAATGTGTAACAGGTGATCCAGGGATCAGACGTAAAGTAAAATCATTTACAGAATCAGTTTATATCATTCAAATGTGACCGAACCCTCCCAGTTTCTCTGGTAAACTATGCTGAATTGTCCGTGTCTATTCCTTTCTATAGACTGGTGGAGCCTCATGATGCCACCTTGTCTCCTGAATGCACCCTGTCAGTCTTCCATAGTGTCACCTTCTGACAGTGTGTCATTGGGCTCAATAGAGATTTCTTACTTTTATTTTTTCATTCATTTTCCTCCCAATTCCATAGGATGCGGTCTTTGTGTTCTTGAAGGTTGGCACCTTTTTTTTCTTTCCTTCATATTGTTTCCTGTATGGGCCAGAGAGATTTCCCATCTCCCCTGAATTTCATCTCAGAATGAGTCCCTCAGACTCAAGTCTTCAATAACAGTCTATCTTATTAATTTTGGATTACTTTCTACTGAAGTTAGTTTACATAATTCTAGTACAAAATCCAGTTTCAATGAAACAGAAAAGTGGAAGAGGTGATCAACAAGTTAGCAATTTATCAATAATTACCATGGACAATGCATGCACTGGTTTTAAATGTCTGATTTGGATCCACTTTTAAGGAGAGCAGATGTTAAATAAGCAAGGCACATATGTATAGGGCAGTTCTAACAAGTGATTTAATAAAACCACACATTTTTTTAAAAGATTTTATTTATTTATTCATGAGAATACAAGAGAGGAGAGAGAGAGAGAGAGGCAGAGACACAGGCAGAGGGAGAAGCAGGCTCCATGCAGGGAGTCTGACGTGGGACTCGATCCTAGGTCTCCAGGATCATGCCCTGGGCTGAAGGCGGTGCTAAACTGCTGAGCCACCAGGGCTGCCCTAAAGCCACACCTTTTAGAAAAAAATTGTGGTTAAATATACATAGCACAGGGGATCCCTGGGTGGCGCAGCGGTTTGGCGCCTGCCTTTGGCCCAGGGCGCAATCCTGGAGACCCGGGATCGAATCCCACGTCGGGCTCCCGGTGCATGGAGCCTGCTTCTTCCTCTGCCTCTCTCTCTTTCTCTATCATAAATAAATTAAAAAATTTAATAAAAAAAATAAAAATAAATATACATAGCACAAAAATTAGCATTTTAATACATAAGTGTACTGTGCCATTAAGTACATTCATGTGCAACTATCACCATCATCTATCTCCAGAATTTTTTACCATCCCTAAAGGAAACTCTGTATCATGAAACACTAACTCCTCCTCCCTTGCAACTCCATTCTATTTTCTATGATTTTGACTACTTAGGTACCTCATACAAGTGGAATCATACCACATTTGTCCTTTTGTCTCTGGCTTCACTTAGCATAACATCTACAAGATTCATACTGTTTGTTGGTTTGCAACCCTCTTGGGAGCTTCCCAGATGCAATCTGAAATCAGCCTCCTTAGGTGGAGGGCAAAGACTAAGAAAGAAGAGGTCACTCCAAGTTGATATGTAGCAGTTTTAATAAGCAGAGGGAACTTACATACATAAGAGGCTTGCCTTTAGTGACAAGACAAATAGATCTCCACACCCACCTGCCAAATCTTAAAAGCTTATTAAGAGGCCTTAACTGGGTTCATTCATAGTATACCCTGCCAGTGTTCTCAACATACTGTCTGAAGGCTATGTCCTTGGAGCAGCCTCTGGGAGCGGGAAAGGCAAGCGGAACCCCATTCCAAGGACAGGGAGGGGGGTGAAGAGACTTCCAGTGCCTGGGTCTAGCCCTTGGGTCAACTGGCAGGTACGTCTTTTCAGTTACCTTCTCCAATACCGTTTCAAGTACTTTGCAAATATTAATTCATATAATTATTCATCTTTGTAGGTTCCCCAGGGTCTAGAAAGTGCTTTGAACGTGTCAGATGTAAAATATTCTGGTAAGACTTAAGCATTTCCAAGTGGCTCTGTTTGTTCTTCTGGTTGGAAAGTCACAAAAGGAGCCGGTCCTACTCGGGGCACCATGTGATACTAGGGTGCAAGTTTAAAGAAGCCCTTTATTTTAGTCACATGTAGGCCAGTTTCCCACAAAGCGAAGCTATTCCTGGACGATAGAGACTATACGAAGTGACCCGACGTAATTAAGGCTTTCCATTCTACAGAGACCCGCAATCACCTGGGAGAAGACTCAGGAAAGGGAAAGATACCCAGGCCGGGCGGCCGGGACAGGCCCACGTGGTAGCGGGACGGAGGAGGCGGGGCCGGCGGGGCCGGGGCGGGGCCTACGGGCCGGCGGGGCGGGCCGGCGGGGCGGGGCGGGCCTACGGGCCGGCGGGGGCGGGGCCGGCGGCGGGGCGGGGCCGGCCGGCCTGCGGGGGCGGGGCCCTCGGCGGGGCGGGGCGGGGCGCGCCACTGCGCCGGGCGGCGATGGCGGCGGACGGGGACTGGCAGGATTTCTATGAGTTCCAGGAGCCAGCCCGGAGCCTCCAGGACCAGGAGAACAGTAACGCGAGCCCCGAGGCCGGCGCAGGGCCGGGCGGGGGAGGCGACGGCTTCCCGGCGCTGGCCTGCAGCTTGGAGGAGAAGCTGAGCCTGTGTTTCCGCCCCTCGGGTCCGGGCGCCGAGCCCCCGAGGGCGGCAGTGCGGCCCATCACCGAGTGCAGCCTCCTGCAGGGGGACGAGTGAGTGCGGGCGCGGCGGGAGCGGGCGGGAGCCTCCCCTGCCCCGGCGCTGCCCCGGCGCTGCCCTCGCCCTGCCCTCTGGCCCTCGCTCGGCAGCCTCGGCGGGCTCCGGCCACAGGCCCCGCCCCCCGCCCTCCTTCCGCCTCCCGGGCCCGCGAGGCCCCGCCCTCCTTCCTGCCCCGCGGCGCTCCCTGGGGCTTTCGGCCTCGCGCGCCCTGCGGTTTAAATCCCCCGCCCCCCTGCGCTCGCTCCCCCTGGTCCCCTGCCGCCCTCCCGCTCCCTGGAAACCCAGGGTCCCCAGGCGGGGTTCAGAGGGGAGCCTCCTTCCACGGAGCCGGGAGTTAGACGTTGCACCTCCTCGGGCACGTGTGTAGCTGCTCATTCCTTCAACTGGCGTTTATTTTTATTTAAGCGCTTAGTGCCTGGGGCTGCTTCGCGCAGGGAAGACCCAGGTGACGGCACGGACCCCTCTCTCGTAGGGCACAACGTAGGAAGGGGCCTGGGTTCGTCAACAGATAATTTGGCGTGGGTGTGACACATGCTGTCCTGGACATAACGTGCGAAACCTAGGAGATTTATTATTTATTTATTTATTTTTTTAGATTATTTTTTAATCTAGGGGATTTAAAAGGGGGTGTGTGGGAGAGGCAGGAAAGACTTCATAGGGAAAGAAATGTGAAAACTGGATCCCGATGGATGAGTGGGAGTTTGCCTGGCAGATGAAGAAAAGTCTAGCTAGCATGACAGCTCGCCGGTGCGGCACGTGCAAAGGTACCAACGCTGAAGCAGCACTTATGCCTTAGGAATTTATTGGCTCCATCTGAGAGCCCAGGTGGCGTGCAGATCCCCACAGAGGCAAAAAAAAAAAAAAAAAAAAAAAAAAAACCAAAAAAAAAAAAAACAAAACAAAAACAAAAACAAAAACAAAAAACAACAAAAAAAAAACAAAAAAAAAATAAAAAACGAAAGAAAGGCTGTGGTTATTAATAGAAGGATCTCCTAGTCTGGTGGGACAAAGCATGCATTAACAGGTAGTTATTATACAATCATATAAGTGCAGTGATAGGACCTTGATAGGGATTGGTGAGAGCTGCCTAAGGGGGAGGCAGAGTGCCTGGGAGGGGGCACTTTGTTTGACTGTCTGGAACCCCAGTTATAATTTGTCTAAAAATGGGTTGTGATTATGTACCACGGTTTCACCCCCAAAAGATTGTAAAAGGAATGGTGAGAGCAAAGGAGCTGAGCATATTGTATAGGTCTGGGGAAGCTGAGGGTGCAAGGAATGGAATAAACACTGTGGAATAGGTAGGGATGGGTTTTTAGAGCCTTGATGGAATGGAGAGATTAGAGGTTAGGGAAGGATTCTTGAGAGAGAGAGAGAAGGATCCACAGGCATAGAAAGGGCCTTCCCGCCTGATGGCCTCCTTTCCTCTGTGAATATGGTAGGGAGCTTGAGAAGAGGGATTGGGGGGATGAGGGCCTGTGATTATGACTTAGTGGGTGTTCCACCCCAGCTAGGTTGGGGACCATATCATTTCATTGGCACCCGTGTACAGTGTTCCACCCAGTGTGGAGGGAAGAGTTTATGACTGGATTTTATACACGCACGAATGCAGCCAGTAGCAGAAGATGACATTTTGGAAAGTCTGTTCCTAGAGAAGATAGTTTTATATATATATGTAGATTTAGATGCTCTGAATCACTAGGACTCAGGACATCTTCTGAATTAAAAAATGATAGTTATGATGCATTTGGGTTTGTCAGACGTAACTCCTCAGAATAGATTTGTGGTTTGTACACAAATGCTAAGGTTCCCTATTTTTGCTTTGCCTGTACTGTCTAGAACGTACTTTATTTTAGTCTCTGCTTAAATTTTAGGGTGATGTAAAACTTAAAAAAAATTTTTTTGTTACTCTTGATAATGGTTTTTAGTAGATGATATGTTGGTAGGAATGCATGATTCTTGATTTCGGAATGTGTAACCTGTCTATTTCTCTCTCCAGGGGCTGGGCTGGTCACTGCTCACTGCCCCCTTTCTGTTGCATAAATCTCTCCATTGCTTGATAAGAGCAATGGGACTTTCCTTAGTACGACTCATTTGAAATACTGCTTAGAGTAATAGAGTTGGAAGCAATGTCTGTTACTCAAGCCTCTCATTTTATAGAAGGGTAGCTCTTAACTAGCATGGTTAAGGAACATGGCCAAAGACTCATGGCCCTGCTCCTCTCAGGGCCAGAGAGAGTTGAGAATTCTTTCACTCAGACATTGCATTGGTTTAGGGCACTTTATTTAATTTCCCTGAGCCCCACTTTTAGTTTTGGCTAGCTCTGCATTGCACTTATCTGCTAATGGTTTTACTTTAGAAGGGTATCATGTAGGATTCCATGTCACAGAACTTTGATCTCCCTGGAAAAGGGCTGTCCTGCTGGTTGTTTATGACTGATTGTAATACTTTATGATAAGGATAAAGGCAATTCATGTCTGTTCTGGAGAAATCTGGAAATCATTCACTTAAGTCAGCCCTGTGTCCTTCCTGCTATAATTGTTCTGACCTTGGTGGAGATAGAGGACTGTTAATTGTCCTTCACTTTCTTGGAAGGTGAAAATCACCCAGTCTCTTCTACTGGGTGAAATATTCCACCCCACTTGTCTTCTTCCAGCCTCAGTTAAGGAGAAGCAAACAAGCAGTCCCCGAATCCTGGACTGTCTTCACCTGCTAGCATATCCTACTTGATTTCCTAAGCAGGGTTAGGTATATAGTCAGTTATTCAGTATTTGAGTATCTTTTATCCAGAAAGGTAGGGGTCAGAAAACCCATGAAGTTTAGCAGTCCAGATTTGTTGCCTTCTATAGGAGTTTTTGGCATCAGAGAAGGTTGTGATTCTAACAGAGAGGAGAATAGAAATGAACTATGCATATGGGAGATGTGCTGGGTAAACGAGCCAGTTTCCTAGAGCTTTTTGGGTTCACATTTTCATTGAGGCTAATATGCATTCCAAAGCCAAACATCATTTTTGGGATTTTATGTTTTTGGCACTTATGGTCCCATTACTTCGCTTTAGTACCAAATCCCAAATTCATTAAATCAAGTATATTGCTTCTTTATTTTTAAGCTTGCATTCTTATTTTTATGCCTCCAGTGGTCTTGTTTTTGTCTTAGTGGCTTAGACACTTGGGAAAAAAAAAAAAAAAACCCAACAACCCAGTTATTTAATGCTTTTTTTCCCCCTTATGACATCTATGTATTTCTGCCCATTAAATAACTTATGTATGTAGTGTTTAACTTACCCAATTAAATTTAATCTCATTTATATCTCTGAAGTCATTTTTTAATACAGTGTCATGTTTTATTATGCTGTGATTACTTTGGTACTGAAATCTGAATTTTGGTCATGAAGTTGGAGTTAGCTGTCCTTATCCGGTGCGGCTTGGGACTTTCCTTAGTACAACTCATTTGAAATACTGCTTAGAGTAATAGAGTTGGAAGCAATGTCTGTTACTGAAGCCTCTTATTTTATAGAAGGGTAGCTCTTAACTAGCATGGTTAAGGAACATGGCCAAAGACTTATGGTTTGAAGAAGAATGGAAACGAGAGTCTATGTTTCCTGAATTTTAATCAAGCACCCTTTCGTTTTACTCTGTTGCTTCCCCAAAATGCTGTTTGACAATAAGGAAGGGTAATTGCATTGGCTACCTTTGTGCATTTTATTGTGAATGCCCCTTTCTTTCCTCTATTTTATCTGTCCTAGCCTATTATATTACAAACTAGATATTAAACTCCAGTCTCACATTGAGACTGAATCCTTTCTCCAGAAAGGACAACACATTTTTGGTTAGAGAAAGATTACTCACCCTATGAAATGATCAATATGTTTGGAAGTTACAGAAGAAAAATAAGTGTAAAACGCAGCATATGTACTACCCATTTGGCTCTGGAAACATTACGTGAACTCCCTGTATTTTAATTTCCTCATCTTTAAAATGGGGTAATAATGGTTCTTCATAATACTGTTTTTGAGGATTAAATGAGTTAATATATATAAATTGCTTAGGACGGTGCCTGGCACCTAGTGTAGTGGAAATGTGAGCTGTCGATTTTGAGAGAGTTTTTAATACCAGTCTGTCTTCCCTCAGCTATTCTTGTCAGCCCAATTATCTGGTTTTCCTTTAGTCGTCTTTAGGAGGCTCTTCTTTGTTGGTGTTTTTCTGGAAAACAGTAGGTCTTCCATTGTTTTGCTTTGAAATGTCTTGTTCTTTCTTTCACTATAGTTGTATTTGTTTAATAAAAGACATGTGGGATGTTAACTATCATTGATTGTAGTTTTTTTCTTTTTAAGGATTTGGAACGCCCTGACAGATAATTATGGAAACGTAATGCCTGTAGACTGGAAGTCATCTCACACCAGAACCTTGCATTTGCTTACACTGAACCTCTCAGAAAAAGGGGTAAGTTAGGCACTGAGCTAATAGTTTCTGAATAACTGATTCTGATAATAGAACTAAAAAATAGCCTCTCTGTTGAACACAAATCATTGTGTTGCCTCTTATTTCCAAGTTCATAGCATTTGGAGTGGCCCTCTGTTGCCATCTTAGCTCCATTGCTGTCAGCTTGCTAGCACTTTCCTCCGGTTCTTCCCAAACACACACTCACTTTTGTATGTTTAGCCAGTCTTCATCACCTGTGTATGAACACCAAAGATCAGCATTTTTTTCTGAACTTAACTAGCACAATTTTGGTGTGCTGAGGAGAGACTCGGAGGGTACTGGAATAGCAACATAGAGTTAACTTTCTGATGAATTTAAGGACTTGCTGGACATGACATGTTTTCTGAAGACTGTGTGTTCCTGTATTGAAGAACCTTTAAAAGATGTTAGATTTCTTGGCTAACTGTCCGAGGATGCTTTGGATTCCTTGGTATTGTACAGTGAAGGTGTCTTGAGTAACAAGTGTGAGCACAGGTGATGGGGCAGCTGGGGGACGGGCTTAGGAAGGAAGGTCATTGTTCTAAGTGGAAAATCACAGCGTTAGGTTTATCTAAAGGTGACGAGAAACACAGCCAAGTTATGTAAGTTTCAGAGCCTGTTTAAGTTCCTTATCATATAACAGTGTAAACTCGTGCCAGACCTTTTGGCATGCTCTGTGTTTCATTAAGTGTATCTGTGTAATTGAGAGTATAATGCAATGGGGCTGTCAGTATTTTAAATAGTATTGTTAATGTTTTATGAAAACGATTTTCTTAAATATATGACTCGGGACAGCCTGCAGCCCATTATTTCCTGGTAAAATATAGACTTCTGCCTGTATTTCTCAGTATTGGAGTAGGTACAGAAATCTTACTGTATGTTCCAGTTATTAACCCCACTAAAGTGTTCTGCTGACTGCCCTGCCCTGTCATAGGTTTTGTGAAAAGGAATAGGCCAACATACCTTATGCTTTGTCTTCTGTTTACTTAGACCCTAGCTATCATTTTGGGCTTGGTTCAAGTTTCCCTTCCTCTCTGAAGCCTCCTATTACTGTTTTAGCCTTTGCTGATCTCATGGAATTATACAATTTTAGAGTTGGAAGCTACTTTAAAGGACACTTAATCCAAGCTCTCACTTGGGGGGAATCCCCATACACAGCCTCTCTGACAGATGGTCATTTAGCCATGGCCTCAATCCGTGCATGGAAGGAAAAGGCAGCTCCCTCTGTGGAATCAGTTACACCGGTGGGGTGTGAAAATCTTCAAGGACTTATCTGTCCCATGGAATTTAGCTCCGTGGTTTCCCGGGTGCTAGCCCCCACAGCACTTTGTCCATGTCTCAGACCATTACTTTGTTCTCTTATTAATCCTGTGTTTCAGGGTCTGTCTTTAGATTGTGATTTGCTATTAGCTATCTTTGTAATTGTCTTTTTAGTAACTACCTCTGTGCCTGGCACATAATGAGTACTAAGACAAGAATCTGTTGAGTGAATGAATTAATCTCATCAATGAGATCATAAGGTCAGAGACCATGATGGAAAGTTCTTTTTTATTTTTTATTATTTTTTTTTATTTTTGGAAAGTTCTTTTTTAAAAAATAAGTTATTTTTTATATTATTTAACATCATGCTAAGTCCATGATAGCCAGTCAGTGAGTATTTTTTTTGTTTGACATATTAAGAAGTAGCATAGAAGATATCCTTTCAAGGTGGTTTCTTGGTTTCTTTCTTTCTTTTTTTTTTTTTTTTTTAAAGATTTTATTTATTTATTCATGACAGACGCACAGAGAGAGAGAGAGAGAGAGAGAGAGAGAGGCAGAGACACAGGCAAAGGGAGAAGCAGGCTCCATGCTGGGAGCCTGATGTGGGACTCGATCCTGGGACTCCATCCTGGGACTCCATCCTGGGAGTAGGCAGGCGCTAAACCGCTGAGCCACCCAGGGATCCATCCCCCTCATGGTGGTTTCAAATTGAAGTGCATTAGCAGCATGAATGGGACATAGTAATTTAGTTTCATTGAATAAAATGTGTATCTCCTATTGTTTTTACATTGCATCTTGGGAAGTCGCTCCCTTTTTCTGCGTTTTGATTGTTTTCTTTCTTTCTTTCTTTCTTTCTTTCTTTCTTTCCTTTCCTTTCCTTTCCTTTCCTTTCCTTTCCTTTCCTTTCCTTTCCTTTCCTTTCCTTTCCTTTCCTTTCCTTTCCTTTCCTTTCCTTTCCTTTCCTTTCCTTTCCTTTCCTTTCCTTTCCTTTCCTTTCCTTTCCTTTCCTTTCCTTTCCTTTCCTTTTTTAAAGATTTCATTTACTTATTCATGAGAGACACAGAGAAAGGCAGAGAGAGAGGCAGAGACAGGAGAAGTAGGCTCCATGCAAGGAGTGGATATGGGACTTGATCCTGGGGTTCCAGGATCACGCCCTGAGCCGAAGGCAGATGCTCAGCTGCTGAGCTACCCAGGTGTCCCTTGATTGTTGTTTTCAATGCCGGAGTAATAGTATAGCTAAGCGTAGTGATTAGTCGTGACTTGGAGTTTAGTACTAGTAACTGATCTTAATTATAAAAGCTTTATCTGGAAAACTCAGCAGATTAAAGCGGACAAGTGATCATCCGTCATCTACCCATTGTGACACGACTACTCAGTTGATGACTAGAACTGAAATTAGAACGCTCTTCCTCAGGAAGGAGTAGCACATGTTAAGTTCCTGAAGAACAAGGAACTACGTAAGAAACAACCTTCTCTTTCTATTAGATAGCATATTACTACATTTTTTTCAATCTGAGTTATTTTATTTAGCATTGCCAACTGTGTGCTCTATTCTTTCCATAACTGAATTATGTTAAAATTTGCCTTTGGAAGCATTCTTCAGATTATTCCATTTGTTAAACAGGATCTATGGGAAATTTTTTTCTTGACGAAGTGAGAAGATATTTCTATTGCTTTAGGATGAGAAAAACATTCAGGAAAACCACCATTTGCCACATTTCAGCTTTTAATTATTCTTTCATTCAGGTTTAAGATGGCACACTCCTAAATTTGAGGAGTCTTTCTACAGTAAGGCAACTAGTACCTTCCAGATTCTCACATGGGCACATTTTTTCCATTTGAAGCAGCTTCAGTTTCGTACAGGGCAATAGAACCACCAGCTCTGTATCTAACCTGGCACAGGAAGGAGTGATGGGAATGCTTGGCAAAGAGAAGACACACTGATGCCGAAATGGGAGAGTGAATAATGATACCCATGACAGCCAAGGTTAGTTTTCAAAGCCCGAAAGGGATTCTAGCTCTTAACATATGCCATCTCTGTGGGGAATGGACTTGGCTCAGTCCCTGGAAAGATGATCTGGGATCATTATTTCTGTTGTTATGGAAATTCATTCTAATGGTTTACTGGTATCACTCATGTGTTTTGGCAATAGCTATAAAAACTATTCTAAATCCAGTGCCATTTGTGAATATGCTTATAGGGCAGACAGCTTCTAAATCATTTTGCTTTAGGAACATCTCCTGTGCTGTCTTCTTCCTCCTACCATGAGCATTTATTCAAGGACTGGGACTTTGTTTTATGCACCTTTTTATCTTCAAGAGTAGAGGCAGGAAGAAGATAATATCTTTCTTAGGAGTTATTTAACTAAACTAATTTATTTACCTTAAAGATTTTATTTATTTGACAGAGAACAAAAATGGGGAGTGGCAGGCAGAGGGAGAGGGAGAAGCAGGCTCCCCACAGAGCAGGGAGCCTGATGGGGGGCTCCATCCCAGGACCCTGAGATCATGACATGAGTTGAAGGCAGACAATTAACTGACTAAGCCACCCAGGTGCCCTCATAGAAGTCATTTTAAAATGAAAACTTTGATTTGTCTGTAAGGGGAAAAATAAATGTATGGTCCTCCGGTTATAGTGAAAATTGATTTTGGGAAGTGTTGAAATTTAAGGATCCATGAAGATAATTGTCGGATCTACTCCATCATCCTTCCACCCTTATAACTAGATTGTGGCACTTTTCATCTCCACCTCTATAATCTTGAAGTCAAACATTCTCTCTCACCAAGAGCCTAAGCTCTTGGTCTTTCACCTTCCATATTAAAAGGTTAATTGCATTGGTTTAAAAAGTACTAGAACTCATTATAGGACTTAATGTGAAAAAGAAGCCTCTGCTCTACTTACCTCATCCTTGGTTTCCACTTACTAGAGGCAGCCACTTTCAACTCCATGAACTGTTTTTTTCTGACAGGTAACATGCTCTTATCATTTTACTTGATTTTTTTTTCTGACTTTAGACTTTGCCCATTTACTTTGTATACAGAGGATGAGGGTTTAGGTCTCTCAGTTCTCCCTCTAGCCCCAACACCATAACCCTCATGAAAACTTCCCCTTCCCTTGTCTTCCCAATATCATTCTATCAAAATATTTGGTTGTTAGTCTTTATCATTTATATTGACTGTTTAAATGTTCACAGTTGACCCATTTTGGCACATCATGAGTAAATTACCTCCTATAATTTTTTTTCCCTTAGGGTAATATTCATTGCCTTTTTGTGGTTTATTTAAGCTGTCTTTAGCTCATAAATGCAGTCTCAACAAAGCCATAAAACTCATTTTAATAAGTGACATACACCAGAGAATCTGTTAGTGTCTCTGACTTTCTCTTGTGCTTTTCTCGATGCCCTGTGCAGTAACAGTTGTAATCTGATCTGGTGACTCTCCAGTTGAGCTTCATAGCCATCATTTTGGGATCTTTACTTTGCTATCATTACAACAATTCCCCAACTTCTGTCTTGTATTAGATCCTAGGTCTGCTTCCTTTCTGGTTTTTCTCCTGGTTTTAATGGAGCTTATTCTGTAGTAGCTTTCTGAGAAACGGTGTATGAGGTAAAATACTTGGAGACCTCGAATGCCTAAAAATGTCTTTATTCTATGCTCCTAACTAATTTTTAGTTTAGTTGGAGATAGGATTCTGGGCTGAAATTTATTGAAACATGGAAATAACATGGATTTTTTTTCTCACTTCTTTTGTTGCTGATGAGAGTTCAAAAGACATTTTGATTCTTGATCCTTTTACCATGTGATGGCTTTTTCTCTCTGGAAGCTCTTAGAATCTTTTTTTTTTTTTTTTTTTTTTACAGAGTGTTCTTTCTTTTATACATTATATTGGCTGTTTAAATGTTCGCAGTTAACACTGTGACATATCATATCACTATGATATGCCGAAGGCCATGTCTAGGCCTTTTCTAGGCTGATAGCATGGTGAAGATAAGAATAAAGAGGTGTGTCATCACTGTGCTACAGCATGGAATTGCAGTATGTGGTAGGATAGACCCCAGAGTTCTGGTGTGGCTTCTCTCCCAGCCTGATGCTCTGAAAGGCAGGACACCAGTGGTTCCTTGCACAGAAACCTTTCAGGTTTCTCACTCTGTGGGTTGTATTCACCATTATACTTCCGATAGTCCTGTATGAGGAACTAGGGAGGCAGTAGGGACCTACATCCCCTCAGTTGTGTCTTCAATTTTATGTATATCCTCTGCACTGGCAAATAAGATAATTTTTTCAGGTAAAATATTATTCTTTATATACTATCTCAGAGAAATGCATGGTTGCTTCTTACATAGTTTCTCATTGCCCATTTGTTCTTCAGGAACTCAGTGAGTGGTATTCCTTCTGAAGACTAGAGTTCTTATTTTAGTTTTGTTCATCATCTGAACAGTCATGTCATGGTAGATAGAGGATAGGTAGATGATCACTTGTCCATTTTCATCTGCTGCATTTTCCAGGTAAGGCTTTACAATTACTACTAGTATAAATTCTAGGTCATTATGATTGGTGTGGGTGGGTTAAGGGACACCAGCTAGATGGGCATGGTGTGATAACTCAGGGCTGGCAACAGTAAGCAGTACTAGCACCATGAAGAGGTAAGGAGAGGAGGAAGTTACCAGAACCTAGAGAGAGTAGCTGTGGGGGAGAGGTCTCCTTAACAGGATCTGCTGCTTTTGGCAGTCTGGCCAGGAGGGACACAGCATAATAAATGTCCAGCCCTCATGCTCCTACTTGCCAGTCTCCGGCCAGTGTCTGCCAGTGGTTTTTTTTTTTTTAATTTTTTTTAATTTATTTATGATAGCTACGAGAGAGGAGAGAGAGAGAGAGAGAGAGAGGGAGAGAGGCAGAGACACAGGCAGAGGGAGAAGCAGGCTCCATGCACCGGGAGCCTGACGTGGGATTCGATCCCGGGTCTCCAGGATCACGCCCTGGGCCAAAGGCAGGTGCCAAACCGCTGCGCCACCCAGGGATCCCTGCCAGTGGTTTTTAACACAACTAGAATCCAGAAGTCAAGGGCATCCTTTGATTTAGTCCATAAAGTTCAGCTTCCTGAGGCCCGCACAGAGCAGAGTGGAAGATGGCAGTGAGGCAAATGGAAACTTCCAGCACAGTTAGATTGAAAGATGTTCTTGGAACCTACCGAGATTTTATTTTTGGAAAAAGAGATGTTCACCTGTAAAGCAAAGTATGACACTTGTGGGCAGTTGCCAGGGAGTTGATTCTTTATCTTACCTTGAATATTAGAAGTTAGTCTGCAAGTAATTAACTTTATGTTGTCTGTGGAATTTTAACACAAAGCAATCTTACTATTAGGCTCTGTTAGATCATTAACTAAAAACCCACCCATTACCTCAGCCCACCCATTACCTCCCTCCACCATCTCCTATAATTCCCTATGACTTCCTAACAATTTTTAGTATATGTGCTGCCTAAGCGAGCACAACAAATTCCTAACAATTGCTATATATAACACTCTTCCCCATGGAAAAAACAACTGAATGTGTGTCTGTATTGGGCATTAGGGGATGCATGTAGCACTTTGGCAATTTCATATTTATTCTCTGTTCCCTCTGTTTGTGCTGGAGATGAATATGTAAAGCCCTTCACACACTGCCTGGCACAGAGTGATTGTAAACATCTCTCCCTTTCGAGGGAAGACTCTCCTTTACCAGACACTGACTTTGTTGTGATCACAATGTCCTGATTTTCACGGTGGGTTATTTTGCTTTCAGATAAGTGACAGTTTGCTCTTTGATACATCAGACGATGAGGAGCTGAGAGAACAGCTGGATATGCATTCAATCATCGTCTCCTGCGTTAATGAAGAGCCCCTCTTCACTGCAGATCAGGTATAGAGGAGAAATTCGTCCAGGACAGGAAAAGGGAACCTCGAGCCCAAAAACAGTGTCTTAACTGCGGCAATAAGTGATGGGTTGTTAGAATTTACTTATTTTTCCTGCCTTTTCTGTTTCTGTAGGCTTATCAGTTAACTCCTCCACTGAGAAAAGAAGAAGGTATATGTAATCCGAAGCTGATGGGATTATGTTAGTTCAGAAGCTTTTCCAAGATAGTACCTTGTTAAAACAGTGCAGCAGGTTACTAACGAAGAATTATTGCTACAACTGAAATCATAAAAAATACTGTGAATCTTGTCCTTTTTTTTAACCGTTAGCAAGACCTGGCAAACTATAATGTATCTGTGTGGAAATTACCTACTTTCTCTAAAAGCCTGTGTGAAAATGATTAGCACTTATTAGAAGTACATATTGTGTACCCAGAAAGAAGTGAGCATTATTCCTGTGGAATACTTTAATAATGTCAACCTTGTATTCATTTAAACCACTTGAATCAGCTTTCTCGTTGTCTGAATACTCTTCCCACTTATGTTGTGTCGTCAATATGTGGGGCAAGAGCTCCTTCCTGAAATAACATGCCCACTCTGACTGTGAACACTACTGCATTAAATTTTTAGGCTGGAAAGATGAGGTTAGTAAAGAGAGATGTTATGGCAAAATTGGGGAGAGTCCGTGAAAAATGTGCCATTTTGACGCTCTGTCATCATATTTGTGGTTGGATTCTTCTAGGCCTGGAAAGAGTACAGTGCTTATAGTCCAGATGATTGGGTGGAGGGCTGTGGGAGGTGGAGTATGACATCCTAGGGAAATACATGACCCTGAGATCTCATCCTTTCCTCAGTAATCTGTCTGCCTGAGTGCCATAAGCTGCTCCTGCTCCTAAGACTTAGAGAAGTAGATTCTGTAGTCTTCTTCAGTGTTCCCTTATGCTATTTTACGATGCCCATTTTAGAAAATCTTGCTAATTAACGTAATCCCACCTCCTTCAGATTTACTCTTCTTTTTCCTCAGTACAAGTATTACATCTTAAGCTTGCTGATTCATTCTGTTCTGAATAGCTTTTTTTTTTTTTTTAACTCTTAGATCTATTTTTTTTTCTAACCATTGAGTGATTTTTCTGGTTTTATGTTCTCACTGACTTCTGTATCTTTCTCAACTTTTAAACGTGGAGCAGTACAAGGTGCCATCGTAAGATTTGAGTAGTGTTGCACATGACAGTAGATCCTTGTTTGAAAGGCATAGTTCTGAAATTTTCCTGCTTTTGTGCAGCTTTTTTTCCCCTCTCTTTTGAGCTTCTATATTTCAAGTAATTTTTGAGTATCTCTTAATCTTCCATTGAATTAATATATGAAATTCTTTTTCTGCTGTTAAAGGAAAATTTTGCTGCCAGAGATAATTCTTTGCGTTATATATCAATTTTTTATACTGTTCTGTTTTTTAAGTTTTATGTCAATTTGATGAAATGCTTTAGGTTGATCACTTGCATGTGGCATATGGTAAATTTTCTGTCACTTGCTTTCTTTTGACTATGATCTGGTTCTAGCACATATGAAGTAAATTATATGTGTGTTTTTGCACCGTTTCTCAGATATTGCAAGATCTAATAGGGCATACTGAATCATGATGGACATACTGAATCAAACTCTGTTTAATTTGTGCTTAGCATATTGTAAATTTTCTTTTTTTGATAAAATGTGTTCACTCATACAATCAAAATTTTGGTAAGTCAGAGCATCAGCTCCTCCTGCACGCCATTGGTTAGTGGAGGTTGCCTCAGGTGAGCATCGTGTTGCAGATAGATTTTTTCCCCAAGTATCTCTGATTAACAGTGGTATGTATATTTTGGAAGGTTATTGAAGAAATTGAAGAAATGATGCAGGAATCTCCAGACCCGGAAGATGATGAAACGCCAACCCAGTCAGATCGGCTGTCAATGCTGTCCCAGGAAATCCAGACTCTTCAGAGGTCCAGCACAAGCAGTTACGAAGAGAGTAAGACACCCTCCTTAAATCCATGCTCTTCGTACTTCCTTTGTATTTCACACCATCTCCAGAAAGCTTTGGCTCTTCACTGGCTGTGATACACACCCCTTTTCAGCCCTCCAGTAATGTGAGGGCATATTTTGATCATTGGTCAGGGACTTTGTCATGTTCACCTTCGGATCCCATACTAGTCAGTTTGGGCTGCTGTAACAAAGTCACGCATGCCCGCGGCTTACTGCTTACTTATTTTCTCAGAGGCCCAGAGGCTAGAAGTTCAAGATCAAGGTGTCAGCAGGCTTGGTTTCTTCTGGGACCTCTCTCCTAGGCTTGTAGATGGCTGTCTTCTCTCTGTCCTCACGTGGTCTTCCCTCTGTGTGTCCCTGTCCTAACCTGTCATTTTATAAGGACACCATTCATACTGGATTAGGGCCCACCCTAACAACCTCATTTTAACTTAATTAAAGACCCCATCTTCAAATACAGCCACATCCCGAGGTACTGGGGATGAGGGCTTCAGTGATGTCCTAGCCTCACTCATGTGAGAAGTGCTAAGAAAAAAAAATGGAAAGGGGGTTTCAGGGAATAGTCTTTCATTTTCTCAATCTTCAAAAAAATTCACACATTGAGGCGCACATGATCAAGTATGTATTTAGCTTAATTCATTTGAATCCACTTGTGTCTCTCAAAGTGCTGGAACCCTGCTCAGCTGTGTGCAATATCTCATCGGCAGGCAGTTTCTGTGCTCTCCCTTGGCTTCCATGTCTGTTCTTCTCCTTCTGTGAGCCTTTTCTGTGTTGGCCAGAGTGCTGTCTGTGGGATGGCTGAGTTAGACAAGTAAAGAATGCTGTTACACTTCTCAGCCTTCTGAGAAGTAACTTTGCCCATCTGCCTCTGCTCAGACCTGCCCACCAGAAGTTTTAGGATTACAAGAAGATCTCCAGCAGTTTAACTGTTTAGAATATGATCCTTGGTATAAAACCATTGCTCTCTTGGTATAAAACGCCCTGTGTGCTGCTCTCTTGAAACATTTTTTTGTCTTAGTGTTTGCTGTGCTTTGCTTTTGGTCACAGGAGTCAAAAGGCTCTCTGTATGTGAATTAAATGAACTCCTGGAAGAAATTGAGAGCGCCATCAAGGAGTATTCTGAAGAGCTGGTGCAGCAGTTGGCCCTGCGAGATGAGCTGGAGTTTGAAAAGGAAGTGAAAAACAGCTTTATTTCTGTTCTCATTGAAGTACAAAACAAACAGAAAGAGCATAAAGAAACAGCCAAGAAGAAAAAGAAACTCAAGAATGGCAGCTCTCAGAATGGGAAGAATGAGAGAAGTCATATGCCCGGCACAGTAAGTGGTGTTTTGCGGGAGTCCTTGGGCGGAAGGCAAACAGGGCCCTTGTGTGTGTGTGTGTGTGTGTGTGTGTGTGTGTGTGTGTGTGTACACGCGTGTAGGGGTGCGGGCAGGCATGTGTGCTGCTCACACTGGAGCACAGGTGGGCCTCTGGGCCAGGACACCGCTGTGCTCAGCTCTAGCAGAAAGGTGTTTCCTTGGTGAGCATAGGATGGTTATCCGGGTAATTCAATACGGAGGTGTCCAGGAAGGAATCAGTGGAAGGAATGGGGGGAGTGGAAGAAAGAGGATATCTTAAAGGTGACCATTTTAATACAACAAAATGTTAGTAGTGCTTATTTATGTTTGGCTGGTGGGCTTATGAATGGTATTATTTTGTTTTTGCTGGTGTTGTATGAGTTGTATAATAAAAGCCTTAAAAGGGGCTGCATTTCAAGGTAGCTGAACTGTGCTGAGTCTAAAATCATAGACTGATCTGTAATCAACTTCTCCTGATCTTTCAATGAGTTGGAATACGAAGGCGTTAGAGGCGATTATGTGACATCAGCCATTTGCCCTGGTATTTGGCAGATTATAATATTTCTGACTGATGAAAAAAATTTAGAATATATGAATCTTTGAATCTTTGATTCAATATGAAATTTCTTGTTTTCTGCTTTTTCACGTTTCTTAAGTGGTCCTATTTCATGTAATTCAACTCCATCATAAACAGTAACTAATTATATGAGATGCATTTTCTTTATTTAGAGCCATTTCGTTTTTCCCTGATCAGTTGAGACCTTGTATATTGCCACCATCATTTTGTTTGTATGTGATTTCATTTTTTTTGGAGTATAATTGTTGGGCAAAGGGATCCAATGTTCTTAAAGGAATGTACTTTTTTCATTCATGATTTTGATAAATAATAATACAAATTAACCACAAACTACTATAGTTTGTAAGAATGTAAATTCCATCTTTAAGTTTCGATTTATTTTTCCTAAAGAATACTTTATCAGAGAAGTGGTTCAATTAACTAGACTCTGATGGAATCCAGAAAAGAGAATGCAGTTCTAGGTTGCTGGATCACCAAAGAACAGTTGATACAAAAAGAATCCCACCGTTTAGCCTTTTCATTGTCTGCTTTTGACCTGTGAGTAAATGGGTATTTTCTTAGTGTAATGTCCACTTGCTTGTTGAAAGGACATAGCTCATGAACTGGCTTTGAAAAAGTTCTCAGATGTGGTACAAATATTTTTTGAGAAATGGCACTGTTGATTAAAGAGGTGTTAGTTGCTTCTAGTGAGTGACTACTTTGGGGAAGCAAAAAACCCGCAAACCCAAAACCTTTGAATATATACAGTTCTGGAAAGTTTGCTTTCAATTTCTGGAGCAAAATTTATATGTCATATTTTTTAAGAAATCGCACATTTTAAATTGCCCCGTGGGCAGCCCAGGTGGCTCAGTGGTTTAGCGCCGCCTTCAGCCCAGGGTGTGATCCTGGAGACCCGGGATCAAGTCCCGCATCGGCTCCCTGCATGGGGTCTGCTTCTCCCTCTGCCTGTGTCTCTGCCTCTTTCTCTCTCTGTGTCTCTCATGAATAAATATATATTTTTTTAAAAAATAAATTGCCCTCTTATTCAGAGTGATTTAACAAAATGCCTACTTAAAAAGTCATAGCATGGTTGGTAATTTCTATCTGCCTGCTTTTTAGAATTACATGTAAACCCTCCATTTATTGGTGTTAACACTTGGCTGAGGGAAATAAATTTTATCCCTAGAGGGGTTTAAAGGCTTCTTTTTGTAACTCCCATATAAAAAGGGTTAGAGTGGATTCATGGTGTAATTGTACATGGCATTTATATTGGGAAATGGATTTGGCAAGGCAACATTTAGATCTTACTTGAACCTTTATGAGTCTTGAAATAGATTCATAGTAGTAGTCACTTTTTTCCACAGTATTTGGACCTGTGAAGTTACTTCTTGAGTACTGATCTACTATTAGTAACAAAACCTTTAATCAAGTCACTAATGGCATCGTTAAGCTTGTAGTACCTCCTAGAAGCTGGAAAAAGACCATCCTGTCTGTTGAAATCTATGATTCTGAAAATAGTGGTAGATGGCTCAAAAGAACCCTGAAGTGAAGCAGGCAATTGGATAAACAGATTGTAAAAAGTATTACCTTGTTAAACGTTTTGTGTAACATGCAGTTTGGCCAAGGCCTTTTTTTGTGAATTAGCTATCATCAGTGATACAAATGTCTAAAAATTGGTGACCTTCTTATAAATAACCATGCATTATCTGTTTTCTAATAACATTGGTCACTTCTTTCTTTTTACCTTAGATATTTTTGTTTTATTAGCAGGACTTAACTTTCTTTCCTTAAGCGCAGAATAGCTTCCTTCCATTTTTCATGTAACATGTTTCATGTTTAAGGAAACAAAACATCAGTTTGTAGCTGGTATGACACTTTATCCATATTTACTAGCTCTTCTTTGATCCAAAGATACTGTAAAATACTTGGGTGGGAGTAGGGCAGAGTTAAACTCTTTAGGTGTTAATTTTGATTTTGGAGACATTTTGTTTCAAACATTTTCTGTAGTGAAAAAAGAATTGGGGGCTTAGGATGCTAGTTAGAGCATTAGACAATTTTGGGGAGCATGGAAATACTATTAAATGTTAAAGTATCGTGCAACCCCAGTGGCCCAGCGGTTTAGTGCCACCTTAGCCCAGGGTGTGATCCTGGAGACCTGGGATTGAGTCCCACTTCGAGCTCCCTGCATGGAGCCTGCTTCTCCCTCTGCCTGTGTCTCTGCCTGTCTCTTTCTCTCTCTCTGTGTCTGTCATGAATAAATAAATAAAATCTTTAAAAAAATATTAAAGTATCAAGTATTTTATAAAAGTGAAATATTATCTTGTTTTAATTTTTAAAATCTGCCACATGTTGGTTAAGATAAAACAGTATATCTTCCTTCAACAAATACTTGCAGAGTTTTGTCCTTGTGCTAGGTAGGCACTGTTGAAGATGCAGTGGCAAATAAAACAGACTAGGCTCATGGCCTCCTGGAATTGACATCCTAATGAAGGAGACAGGCAATAAAGAAAGAAAGGAAGACTAGACAGTGTAATTTCTGGTAGTAATAAAGGCCACCAAGACAATGGTTGACAGGTACTGTATTGTTAATCAGTATAGTGACCTGCATGCATTTCTTTGAACTGACCATGCTCTTTTGGGCCTTGGTGCTTTTATATATGCCACTCCCTTTTCTGGAGTGGCCCTCTGTTCCTGTTTCCCCGAGTCCACTTGGGAGATTTTTTTTTTTTTTTTTTGACTTCAACGTTTTGGACAAGCATTGTCTTCCTTTCTTAGAAGCTTCCTCTATGGCTCTTCCTCCAATGCAGAATTGACCAGTCTTTCTTTTGGGGTTAATATTATTCCTCTTGACTATTTCTGTTGGCACTGTACACTGTATTGTAGTTCTTAGTTTTCATGTCTATCTCTGTCATGGTTCTCTAAGGATAGGTTACTTTATATCCTTAGGTACAACATTAGGTACTAACAAATTTCTTCTAATAAATGTGTGAAAGAGATAAACTTGCAAATCTGTATTTCTGCCTAGGATTTTTCTGTCAGGTGCCAAACCCATAGAGGCTGAGGAGCCTAGTGATTAAGAATTTTGGGTTAAGAGCTGTGTTTAAATCCTGCTCCTGCCACTGGGTGCATCTCCCTTTGAGTTTTGAGTTTTGGGAGGATTAAATGAAATAATGTATGTAAGACTAGCATATATCCTGAGTAAATGCTAGTTAATACATATCCAATTGCTTACTAGATATTTCTCTCTAAAATTTATTACACTAAAGTTATCATTTTCCTAAAGTTGAATTTATTTCTTATATATTTTTCTTTTGGTTAATGGAACAGTCTACTCATTCACTGAAGTCAGTGGAATTTCTAAGTCAAAGGATATGCAGTTTTTGGAGGGCTTTAAACAACCATCTTTTCAAATTGTTCTACAGAAATGAAACTCAGTAATGGCATAAATGAGCCATTTCCCCACATGTCCAACCAACAGAAGGTATTGTTAGCCTTTTGATATATACTGATCTGAAAGGCAAACAATGGTTTGATTTGTTGACTTCTATATTCTTTTGTGAGTTGCCTATTGAGTCACATTTGAGACTTTTTGGTATTTATGATGATACACATACTTCTGATCTCATAGTGTCATACTCTGTTATCATCATTGGATTAAATATCACCTTGAAAGGAATGCAGCCTTCCCAAAAGCTCATTCACATTGTTTCATTATTTAGCATCTCACCTAATTTTTTGTTCTTTGCACATCACTTAATGCCTGTTTGTTGAATTGAAACTTCACTCACTATAGGGGAGATAGAATCCCAGAGGATTTGGATTTGTCCTATTTGAATTGTTGTTCTATCAGGGATTTTTTGTTGTTGTTGTTGCCAGTCTTCTGTTTGTGTTGAATAGAGTCATAGACTGTTGAATTTCAGTGGCAGTTCTCATGAGTACAAGAACAAGTCAAAGTATACCAGATAAGTTTTAATTTGTTAAAACTTCTTGTTTTAACAATAAACTGGAGATCTACCCAGAGGTTGTCACCTAGAACTACCTGAAGTTGTAAAGAGTGTTTACTTGCTTGGCATCATACTTCAGTATGATGAAATACTGATGGGTGAAATGGACATACTTCCTCCTTTAGGATCCAGTAATGTTTTCAAATTAAAAGTCACATATAAGGTTGTGTTTTCTAAATCTGGGGTTGAGAAGATAGGAATCTGTAGTACCTTTTCTGTTTGCCATGGAGCAAATAGAGAGCTTTTGAGAGAGAGTTTTCCTGTGTTGGACTTAGCACCAGCAAAAATGAGTAGTTGCTTTAGTCTAACCTGAAGAAGTTTATTTTGAAAACTTTTGGGGTATTAGGAATCAGTAACTGTGTTATCAAAAGAATTAATATTGGCCCATTGCTTTTGGGGTTGGGGGGAGATAACTGCTT